AATAAGGGTTAATATGATGAAGGGGTGGAATATGACTGTAAAGATGAAAATTTAAAAGATTTTATAAAAGGAATTGATAAGAAGTTCGTTGAAAAAAGAAAGAAAAGGATTTAAAAACAAAAAATGGGGAGAGAATGTGATCAGGCAGGAGACTAGAACAAAGCCATACACTAGAGATTTAGGATCTATTTTGATCTGTTAGGAGAAACTGTATCTCACAATTTTAAAGACAGAACAACTTATATATATATATACCAAAAATAAGGGTAACTACTATGAAGGGATAGAATATGACTCTAAAAATGAAAAATAAAAATATTTTTTTAAAAAAAGGGATTGATAGGATGTTGGTTGGAAAGGGGAAAAAGAAAAATTCAAAAAAAAAAAAACAGTTAAAAAAATTAACTTTGAAAGAGTAAAGAATCATGGGGAAAAAGTCATAAATTTTATGTGCAGTATTCCCCTAGTGCTGGAGTTCTGCTGTTCTCATTGATTGGTAAACTTGGCCTTGGCTGGCTGTTCTTGCTGGTCTTCTGGGGGAGGGGCCTGTTGCCGTGGTTCCCAAATGTCTTTGCAGGAGGTGGAATTGCCCGGCTCTTGCTGGGTCTGGGCTAAGTCATCTGCTCGGGTTTGCTCTCGGGAGCTTTTGTTCCCTACAAGCTTTCCGTGCAGCTTTGGAGGCTGAGAGTGAAAATGGTGGCCTCCCAATCTCTGCCTGGAGGAGCTGAGAACTCGGGAACCCCCTCCTCAGTGAGCCCCCAGAGAAAAGCAGTCAATCACTCCCGTCTCCCTGGTCTCTGGCCGCACTCCATGCTCACTCAGCCTGTGACCGAGTGTTTCTATCTCTGGCACCCGACTCGGTGTGGAGTCTCCAGACCCAGCAGATCCCTGCGGTGTGCTCCCGCGCCACTCCTCCCAGGGGAGGAAGGGGAGTCTCCCCGGATCTGCTGCTTGTTGGCTCCCTGCTGGAGGAGCATTGCCTGACTGTGCTGTGGATCACGGTTTATGACAACCCTGAGCTGAGAGCCCGTGCCTCGGCTCTGTCTCTGCAGCCGGCTTCCCCGCTCCGATACCTGGGAGCTCTGCCGCACTCAGGCAGCCCCGGTCTTTCTGTGACCCCGAGGGTCCTGAGACCACACTGTCCCAGCGAGGGTTCCACCCCCCGCATAGCCACTGGAGCGACGTCCCGCAGCGGAGCAGACTTCTAAAAGTTCCGATTTTGTGCTCCCCGGCTCTATCACTTGCCAGAAGCGGCCGACGGAGGCCCCCTCTCACGCCATCTATCCTCCCAAATATCGCCTCCGATTCACTTCTCCACACGTCCTACCCTCCAGAAAGTGATCGCTTTTCTGTTCAGAGAGTTGTTGCTATTCTTTTCTTCAATCTGTTGAGTTCATAGGTGTTCAGAATGGTTTGATCCCTATCCAGCTGAATTCCTGGGATCAGAGGAAATCCAGGTCTCCTACTCCTCCACCATCTTGCTCTGCCCCTACCCATAAGGTTTAATTCTGCTGTCGTCCAAAGCTCAAAGGCAGAGTTGGTACCTAGGAAGTGGGGTGATGAGCTTGGCCATGCCAAGCATCCTCCTGGTGTCATTCTTTTACCTGTGACTGGGCTGAAGAAATAGCCATCTTAATCACTGGGCTGATAGATCCTGTCCATGGAAATAGCCATCTTAATCACTGGGCTGATAGATCCTGTCCATGGATTCTTGACACCATCCTGGGGAGTAGCTTCTATACCTTGTTCATGGTCCATTGCACATTTTTCATGAAAATGAATGAACTGTTCTTTGACTCCTTAAGCCAAGACCTCAATTGTTCACTAGGCATTGTGTAACCAGTGGCTATTTGGATGTCAAACGTTTTCAAATATGTGTCGATTAGGATGGTATTATAATTAGAGGAATCTAATATTTGGTGCCATCAAATTCCCTTTGGAGATTTGAAATCATTTTACCTCACTAAATTGTTTATTGGATGAAGGGCCATTGGGTTAAATATAACTTTTAGATATTCTCTATCTGCTTGTCATTCAAAAATAGTTTGCTCAGGGTGCCTGGGTGGCTCGGTCAGTTAAGCGTCCAACTCTTGGTTTCAGCTCCGGTCATGATCTCAGGGTCATGAGATTGAGCCTCATGTAGGGCTCTGCTCAGAGTCTGCTTCAGACTCTCTTTCTCCCTCTCCCTCAGCCCCTTCTCCCTGCATGCGCACTCTCTCTCTCAAATCTTTTTTTTTTTTTTAAAGTTTGCTAAAAAGGGGAAAATAATAAAGTTTGAAGTTTTTATGAAAAATGCCTTTAACCATTATCAGTACCTGGTCCATGCAGGGTAGAGCCCCCCCCCTCCACTTAATGATACTCCATAGTAGTCTTCTTGCCATCGGCATGAACTCAGGTGGCCTAGGGGCCTTCTACTGAGCAAATTCCTCTAGTCCAGTCACATCTCTCCATGTATCTTTGCACCAGCTTTCCCCTGTGCCTGGAACATTCCTCCTCCAGATGTGCCCACAACTTGGTCCCTCACACCCTTCTGGTGAGAGCTTCAAATGCCACCCCCACCCCTGGTGATGTCTTTCCCTAGCAGCCTTCCTAAAAATTCCGTTCTTCCTACACACAACCTCTCCTTCTTCCCTGTTTTATTTTTCTCTTTGACGTTCCTTTCTAGCACACTTTCTTGGCCCCCTTACCTTATGCATTACCTTCCTGCCCCACTGGAATGCAAGCTCCATGATGGTCAGGATTTTTCTATGTTTTGTTCATCCCCCTATTTCTAAGAGAAATTGAAATTCATTATTATACGGATGACTCCAGACAGCATCTAGCACAGGCAAACAAATGTGGTTTTGCCAACAAGGATCTCCTCTCCTTTCCCAAACACTCTGAAGTTTAAATCCTGGACTTAAACTGATCCCATTCACCTTATCAATCTCGATCCCTTTTCTTTAATGTCATCTACCCAAAGCCCAATAGGTATTTGTTATTTTGCAATACAATGAGGTGGGAGGACCTGTGTAAGTTGGGACTGGAGCTGGCATTTGCCCTCTAGCCTCTGGACATTAGTGGACATTCTCTGCCCCCTTGTGAAACAGGTTAATTCATGCCACTCTTTCCCTGGGCTTCTCTCAACTACTGTTATTCTTGCTCTAAGCCCTTCCTGAGATTTACAGGTGATCCTAGTGTCTTTTCTAATGAGCTGTTAAAACATTCTAGAAATCAGTTCCTTTCCAGAATGAACTGATAAGAATTCATCACAACACCTGGCTGCATGGCACATGATAATAATGTTTGACCTCCTGGATCAGGCCCTGACATACCTAAGTGTCCTAGGACTCTCAGCATTGAAGAATGTCTGATCCTTGCCTTGATGAAACTTATTTCTTCGCAAAGGGAAGAAGTGCTCTCAAGTCCCTGTGTAATGTGCCATTGCCCTTTCAATACAAAGCATTTCTAAATTGATAAAATTAGAATTTTCTTGTGATCATCATTTGAAGCTATTTTGATATCAAAATTGATATCAGCATCATTTTGATATCAATTATAATCGATCTGTCTGCTGAGGAAAGTTAAAAAGATTTTCAAAGGAACTTTGTGACAGCACTAGAAATAAGTCCTGGTTTATTCTTGCCTTTCCATCCAAGAGCAAGATTTGCACTTATCAATTTATTTATAGATTAGAATTCTACTCCAGAGTTAATAGCCTGAGATTGATAGAAAACACTTGGGGGGGGGACAGGAATAAGACAGTGTTATCAGTGTATTAGGAGGAAATTATCCTGATCTCGAAATATTGCCAAACTGTATCAAATGGTGGCCAGTCTGTCATCTTCAGGAAGATGTAATAGCTTGCGTTGGTTTGGCCAGTTGATTAGGATCCAGTTATAATGTCATCCTAAAGGTCTGCATGGAAAGAAGGTGTTTAGGCTTACTGGTCAGCAGGCCCCTGCTTCCTCACTAGGTAGTAAGAGCTTCTGGGTTTCTGGCACACTTGTCCCTTATAATCATTGCTGTCTCAAGATAGGAGAAAATGCATTTGGAGACAGAGCGAGATACCCCACGTGTGTTGGATAACAGTAGCCGCTGTAGGTGTGTTTCCCTTCCATGTGACAGCTGGGGGCTGTAAGCTGCAGGTGGCTTCCCTCCCAGCACTGAGGCAGGACCAGGTGCCATGTCTGACTCCTTCAGCTCCTGGGACGTTGGAATACCCTGAGCCCAACTGGCAGCGGGGAAAGAAAGGACCTGAAGAAGAACACTCACTTAACTACCTTCAGCCAGAAGCACTCCCCATCACCACCTCTGCTCACGTTCCATTGCCAACAATTAGTCATAGATCCACCCTGGAGTGAGGGAACGGGACAGCCCCTCTAGACCATGGAAGGGGGAACATGAACATCCCAGGGGAGTTGGCCAGCTTTGCCACAGCCCTCTGTAGTCCTGGGATTTGGGGGCAAGAACAGGACCTGCGTTTCTGGCCACCTCCATTCTCTTATAGCTATGCTTTGGGAAGCAGTCATTTGCCCTTCGTAGACCCACACGCCTGTATCAGCCGGCCCTGACCTCTAGCAGGGTGGTGTCCGTGGAGCCATGGAATTGATAAACACAGCCTTTTGTACTTGGGTCTCCTTTGTACTTTCCGATACGGACATCGGTATGTGTTCATACTGTATGGAAGCTGCAGGTCCCAAGAATCCATTTTTCGTTGTATCGTTTCATACAGAACCATTAATAGTTGTCCATAATGACATTCTGGCTAAATTTGTTGACTTGAAACCTGTCAAAAGATCATTTCTTTTTTGATAAGAGCACCTCCTCCTTGGTAGCGTTGGCACTGTCCAGGAGCAGATCCCGGGAGGTAGCCGAACGTGCCTCGTTTTGTGCGAGGTCGTTAAGCCTTTGTTCACGGAGATGAACAGTGGACAGGTGGGCAGGGGTCATCAGCAGGTGCCATGAACACCTGCCCGTTCTGTGCCTTGACAACTGACTGGCCCAGCTCTTCCCCACAGGTTCCCATTCCCCATGGTGTTCAGCAGCTGTAGCAAGAAGGACCTGGAAGTCAGCCTGGAGAAGGGCGTGGGGATGTGCCTCTTTAACCTGCCGGAAGTGAAGCAGTCTTTCGGGGGCCAGAAGTGCGGGAACGGCTACGTGGAACAAGGAGAGGAGTGTGACTGTGGGGAGCCCGAGGTAAGAGACCCGTCCCGGGACCATTGCCTCGCGGCCACAGCTAACAAAAAAGCACGCACATGGAAGAATGACGCAGCAGAATGAAAGTGCTAGAAACTCAGGATGGAAAGTCCTAAACGGCCACCTTGAACAGCCGCACAAGCCAGGGTGGCCCTCTCGAATTGTAATGATGGCACAGAAGTCATAGCACTGGTTTGAAACGATAAAGGATCTTCTCTATTGAAGGACACCATGTAGGTGAGGCGAGATGAGGACAAAAACAATAAAAAAAGCATTTCGCTTTGAGTTTAACAGAGAAGAAAGCTTTGGGATGCTAGCTTCAGAGGGCTAATAAGCATCCTTTCTTTCTCTTTGTAAGGCGAGCAACCAGAGGGGAATTTGAATAAGCAACATTCATTTTGAACCGAGAGCTCCCGCCCGCGTTGCAATTCTGCCTGATACCACAGCCTCCTCTATTATGCACAAGCCGAGGCTCCAGGCTGCTGCCTCCTCGCTCGCTAGCAAAAGCAGGGAACATTTTTATCCAGCAAATGGCTTACTGAGCCCTGTTTCCCAGCCAGTGTCAGGAAAATTTCTTGTTTCCGTAGGGCCCAAGATAAAGTTAATCAACATAAAAATGATAGCAGCCACTTTTTAATCTCTGAATAATCTTGAGAAGGAAAGAGAAAGACAGGACACAGTAAGACCTCCTGGTAAAAACAAGTGCCTCCTGGAAGCTCGGAGGGGGTTGTGTTTAGTCTAAATCAAAGCAAGCAGTTCGTATCGCAAGCCGTCTGCGTATGGGATTCCCTCCCTGAGAGCTGATGCAAGCTGGACTGGCAGACGGGTTCAAGGCGGGCTTAGCTGGATGCACAGACAGGCTTGGAGAGAGCTTAGGAAGAGCATGTTCTGGAGAGCTGCTCTGAAAGGGGGTTCTGCGGTGGAAGGAAATGTGCAGAGAACCTGGGCTATCCCTCAGATTCCTGTGTTTATCAGACAGGCAACTGATTGTAGAATCTCCTTCATCTGCTTCATCTCCAAGACTCTGTGGTTTCCCATACCAGCAGGACCGATCTGGGGCTCAGTCTGGCCATTTCTGGAAGAATGTAGGGAGTGAATAAATACTAGGGGATGGGGCTTATAGGGGTGGTCCCATCAAATGTCTGTGTGCCCTTTCCAAACCCGGGATTCCTCTGTGATAACAGCTCTGTCCAGAGCAGCAGAAATTGTGCTCACAACATGCTGGGGGTGATTGCTGTATGGGAGCAAGTCCTCATGCATGGGGCTATAGAAACTCTTCTTAAGATTAGTGAAGGAAAACTTGAAACTGTCATGGGATGGGGTATTCAAAGGGGAAATTCCTTAGAGACTTTGTTAATTACTTGAAGAAGAAAAACAAAATTAGTTTAAATTATCCATAGTTCTCAGGAGAGGCTATGTGGCCTTAAAATGGTTTGTCTTTGATTTGAAGTCCTCGTAATTCTTTATTTAATCTAAATAAATTTGACAGCTCTTCATAGAGTCATGAACTCTCAGGTTTAGAATGACCACCAGCAGTCACTTGCTCCATATTCCAGTTCCACCACGGGCACTGCTGCCACCCTCACCATCACCACCACCACCCCACCATTACCGCCCTACCATAACCACTGTCATCCTCATCCCTACCATCACCACCATCCGCATCACCACCACCATCCCTACCACCACCATCACCACCATCCCTACCACCACCATCACCATCATCATCACCACCATAATCACCATCACCTTCACCATCGTCATCACCATCAGCATCATCACCACCATAATCACCATCACCTTCACCATCGTCATCATCACCATCAGCATCATCACCACCATAATCACCATCATTATCACCACCATAATCACCATCACCTTCACCATCATCATCACCATCAGCATCATCACCACCATAATCACCATCATTATCACCACCATAATCACCATCACCTTCACCATTGTCATCATCACCATCAGCATCATCACCACCATCATCACCATCACCTTCACCATCGTCATCACCACCATCAGCATCATCACCACCATCATCACCACCACCACCATCACCATCATCATCACCACCATCATCACCATCACCTTCACCATCGTAATCATCACCATCAGCATCATCACCACCATCACCACCACCACCACCACCATCACCATCACCATCACCACCATAACCACCATCACCTTCACCATCGTCATCATCACCATCAGCATCACCACCACCATCATCACCACCACCACCACCACCATCACTACCATCACCACCATCCCCAGCATCCCCATCACCACCACCATCCCACCATTACCGCCCTACCATAACCACTGTCATCCTCATCACCACCATCCCTAATGCCATCATCACTGCCACCACTATCATCCCTACCACCATCATCACTGCCACCCCCACCATCCCTCCCACCAGCAACCCCCTACCACCATCACGTCAGCAAATGTTTGAGTGCCTGAAACTTGCCAGCCACTGATGTGATCCTCAACTTCACCTCCATCGAGGAGGCATTCAGCTTTGGCAGGGTGCTTATTATCTCTCCAGGCGGGATACTGTATCGCAGGGCAGCACTGATTAAATCAAACCCCTTCCTTATGGAGAGCCCTATTTTGCCTGCACGTAGTTCCCAACTATATATATCTGTGTGTAGGGTCCTATTTCATGGATAATTTCTTGGTATTTGAAGAGAACTGTCATTCTCCTCATCCAAAGTCCTTTGTTTCAAGAAATCTCTCAAAGTCATGAGCAAGGTTTTTGCTTCAATTTGCAGTTCTTTAGTTTTGCTTTTCAAACTGCATCTAACAATGTAACAACCCATATCCAGTTTCCAAATTGCCTTGACCAAAACTTTTAGTCAGACCTGGGCTCAGTTCACCTGGGCTCTCTACCCGGCTTCCCAGTACTCAGGCCCTGGAAATATTCGTTACACCTATGCTTCATATTGGCCCACACCCGCCCCCCTCCCCCAAAGAGGGACTCGGTGTATCACCACATCAGCAAGCGAATGGGATCAGAACCACCTTCCCAGCGTACAACTGAGCCCAGCTTCTGCCCCCTTGCTCCTGGATATAATCTCCACTGTTGTCAAGAAGATGCACCTTAGACACCCCAGAGCACAGTGATGAAGAATCTGGGTCTACCGCCCACAACCCAAGAATGACAGGGCTTTTGCAGCATTCTCTAATGGCTTCATTACTCTTTTTTCTTTGGAGACTTAGTGTTCATTGGCTCTGTTGAACTTTTCTATTGAGTACTAAAATAATAAATGTATCAGCAAATGAAGAATTTGTCTCTTCTGATAAATACAGTACTGCGGAAGAAATAGATCCTGGGCAGTTATGAAGGCAAGTGGCTGCTGAAGCCTTCCGTACAGGGCATGGGATTTACATCCACCATAAGGATATCCTGACAACTCACTCATTCATCCCGCTCACAGGGTTGGGAAAGCAGCCTTATCTCCTTGTTTAAAGTCAATAGAATGCCAGTAGCCTGCAAATATCTTTTAAACTTAGTTATCTTTCTCACATTATCAATCCCCTTTGAAGTCAAAGCTATTCTGTTTGGCTGCATTTCCATTTGAGCAGCTGCTTATATTATTCGGTGATTTGGTCAGGGGTGGGGGGAGGTAGTTCTCCAAGAATCTTAGGACCCAGTTTTCAGAGAGCTGATTTAACTTAGTAGCTCGGGGAAGTCTGTAATTTGGTTAGTGTGTCATTAGTCGAGCCATTTAGACCTTAATGAGCAGGATGACATTGCTGTATATTTGATGGTACTGGTCAGGAATGCAATCAGTGGACTCCTTTAAAAAAACAAAACAAAACAAAACAAAAACCAAGTTCCTAAACTTTATAGGATTATAAGTCCATGAGTTAGAAACCCTTACTGTCATGGAAGTTACAGCTATGACTTCTGGTTGGCACTTTTATCTTATTGTGTATATTATACACTCCGGATGTTTATGAAGTCCTTGAACAAATTTAAAATTTAATAACTTTGGTTGTACATATAATAGCGGCAAATGGTAAACACCAAATGAGAGCATAATTCACAGTCTTATGCAGGGTACGGTTCAGAGATCTAGGATAGTCCTAAATCTTCTTGATTATCAACAAAATGTTATTAATTGCATTTATAATACTAATGATAAGTTCATTTACAGAAGATGGTTTTCAGGAGTAAACGACTACACTCTTAAAATAGTACATGGTTGGCTTCAGTCTAGCTAATAGTATATACATTCTTCTGCTCACGTCATATACTAAATAAAAGGACATTTATAAATTAACACCAAAGACCCTATGAACTCTTCCTTCTGATAATTCAGTTTCTTCTAAAATGTGTAAACTCCAAGTCATTGGGATGTTTTAAAGTACAAGGACTTCCTGAATACAGTAGATAATATGTGTAGACCTTTTGTAGACAGCTAAGCAAAGATGTCCATCCCCTGTAGGGTTTTTTTGTTAGAAAAAAGCAGGTACTTGTAAAGCACAGCTTAAGAAAGGAGGTAATTTTCTCTCATTTCGGAGAGAACAATGCATCTAATATTTGATCTGTTTAAATCCCTTGCAAATCAGTGGGCACAGCCTACAGACTGCCCAGTGATCTTGGTCCTTGTACTGTGCATTTTAGACCTGACAGGTGCCTTGTCAGGTGAGGCAGCCCACCTGTGCTAGCAGGAGTCTTGGCCACCGCATTTGGTAGGATTGCAGGGAACTGTGGTCCAAACACAACTGATTGGACTTCATTTCCTGCCGGCATGCTCCAGATGAAAAGGGGTCGGTATTTGAAGAATTACGTTGGTACGCATCTCTGTATATTTTTAAATAAGTAAGTTCAAAGTATGCCAGTGATCCTGATACGGTTCACAGCAATAAGCCCCGCATGCATCCGAGAGCTCCCTGCAGAGCCCCAGCCCACTTGGTTGGATTCAGTAGCCAGCCTCCTTGCGCAGGCTCCCTGGCCCTCCGCGAAAGGCACTGAGGGCTACCGACTCCTGCGGGGGACTCGCCCCATCAGTTCATAAGCACTCACCGGACACCAGAGGCTTAGCTTTCTTACAGATGAAGATACTCTCAGTCAGGCTGGTCTGCAGCTCAAGGGCCAGGCCCTCTGGTTCGTCCTTCGCTTGATGGCCCCTGCCTTTGGTGAGTAGTCGCCCCCTACGACCTATGACCGTGTCCCACGAACCCTCCTCCCCCTGCAGGAATGTCTGAATCTCTGCTGCAACGCCACCACGTGCACGCTGAGGCCCGACGCTGTGTGCGCCCACGGGCTGTGCTGTGAAGACTGCCAGGTGAGTTCTCTTGGCGCCGTGGCCACCCCCGGGTTCAGCGGGTTCCACTCTGAGGCAGGACACATGACTCCTGTGCTGTGAAAACTAGAACCCCTTACAGCACCAGTCAGCATCCCCCCACTGCCTGTTCTTACTGTCACCCGATCTTTGTGAGAAATGCACACTTCAGTGCTGAGTCATCTGTGGTAAGTTACTTATTTGTGGGTTGAAAGCGACCGTGCCAGAATTCTCCGGCTCAGTGTTAAACATGCCCATGCTGTGCTATTGGAGGTGCATGACGTCCCCTCACCCTAATGGGAACACGTGGAGAGCGGGGAGCATCTGCCCACTGGGCTAAGAAACCCTGTGGGCTGCTCCAGGGGTCTTAGGTCAACATCCCCATCTTGACGTCTTCCTAACACAAGGTGCTGGCCGGCCCGGCCCGCCGCGGCACTTTCCTACCTTGCCTATCCTTGCCGCCATGACTGGGTTTACTTGGGCCATTGCAGCGTTGGTCTCATTATTCAGAGCTGAGATCTGACAGACCAGAAGCCTGAGCTTTTGATGCAAAAATTCCAAGGGTAAACTTTATTTCTTTTTTAATTAAGCAATTGATTTTGGCCTTCTGCTGGCAGGAAACTCCCTCTTAGCTCCCCCCACGAGAGCCCGGTGATTCAGAAGTGCTTTGCACCATCTTACACCCGGCTTGAAATATCCCTCCTGCCCTTTTAACTTGTGATTAACTTCTGGGGGATTGTTCAAGGAAGCTGGCACCCCTGGCACACGGCTGCTGGTGGGGGAGAGTGTTGGGGACAACGGGGGCGGGGGGGTCGCTGGCTGTGCGGCCTCTGACCAGCCACTCTGAGCCTTCGTGTCTTCAACCATGAAATGATGAGGTGTTGGCCAGTGGTTCGGAGCATCTTTTGTTGCTCCCTTGCTTCGCCTCTTCTCTCCTCCCCCCCATGAAGTCCTGCAGACAGGTTTCTAACTCCATGATTTGATGACAAAGTGAAATATTATTGTGACCAGGCCCTTGGGATGATTTTTGTCATCTGGGCCACAGCGGTAACACCGTTAAGTACGCACATCATCATAAAACACGTGACAGTGTTGGCCACCAGAGATCTTCTTCAGAATGAAGGGGCCCGTCAGCCAGCACTCCCTTCCCACTCCTCCTCTGGGGGGACAGGTGCCAGCCATCAGCTCATCCGCTCAGCAGAAAACCCTAATATTGCATGAAATTAAAAAGCAGCTCTTGATTGCACCCCCATAGTGGAAAGGTGAACCCCAGAGCCCAGAGCAAGATTCTGTTTAATGACTCTCTATGTGTCTCTTGCTTTGGAATCCTTGCCCTTTCATGTGGGCTTCATGAGGATGGCCTTGCTCCGTTCTGCCCCCGGGGTGCTGCCGGGAAGCTGCTCCCTGTCTCCCGCAGCACACATTCCATAAACAGCCTCTTCTTCCAGCTGAAACCTGCGGGGACAGCATGCAGGGACTCCAGCAACTCCTGTGACCTCCCAGAGTTCTGCACGGGAGCCAGCCCACACTGCCCCGCCAACGTGTACCTGCATGACGGGCACCCTTGTCAGGGGGTGGACGGCTACTGCTACAATGGCATCTGTCAGACCCACGAGCAGCAGTGCGTCACACTCTGGGGACCAGGTAGGTGGCTGCCACCGGAGGGCGCAGAGCAGTGGGGCTGGGGAGCTCGCTCTGTTTCCAGAAGCATCACTCCTGCAGTGCGCCATCGACAAAGCTTCCCTCCATTCAGCGACAGTGAGTGGCTTCCTGGTAGGTCTGGGGCCATGCCGGGCACCAGGCAGGCAAAAACGGTGCTGCCCAGAGCCTGTCCTGAGGGCTCAATGCGGTCCAATGAGGAGGGATGCGTGAGCACCTACTGTGTGGCCAAGGGAGTGACAGGGCAGAATCAGCCATGACTCCTGGTCTCAGATAGCTTAACAGGTAGTTGGGCAGACAGAACCTTCCATCCACTCTGATTATGTGTAAGTGCTTCTTGGTGCTCAAAGAAGGACCCCAACCAAAGCCTGGCGGTGCCAAAGAGAAAGTCACTGCAGACTTGATGCATGAGTAGTCTGTGACCAGGAAGGACAGGGAGAGGTTGCTCCTGACACAAGGAGCAGCAAGCTGGCCCTCGGATGGGAAGGTACAGGGAAGGGACTGCTGCGATGGGCAGCCTGTATACCAGAGCTCAGAGGAAGAACACGGACACAGGTGTCTAAGAGCCTTGAAAGCCATTTTGGTTCTAAAAGCAGAGGGATAGACTTGTGTGTTCCCAAAAAGGTGCCCAGATGGGCAGTTAGTCAGGAAGCAGCTGCTGGGGTAATTAGAGGCTGTCCACTCACTGCTTCCTGTGTAGGGGATGCTGGGCCAGATGCTCAGTATGGCTTTTCCCCTCTAACTCCCAACATTAGAGATAGGGACAATGACTACAGTTTAGAGAAAGTGAAGCTCAAATTCAGAGACTGGAAGTCAGTTTCGTGAGGTTGTGAGGCTGGGATTTGAACCCAGGCCAGTTGACCCAAAGGCAGTGTTATATAACATAGGCTGGCAGTCGCACCAAAGAACCAGGTCTAGAACAAAGTTCCACAGAAGCTCCACAGTCAAACGGAAGCTTGGATGCAAAAGAGGGAATTATCGGTCCTCTAGGCATGTCTCTCCTCTTTTGACCCATTTTCTGGAGCCAAAGGTCCAGGGCCCTGGGGAACAGCAAGGACCCAGTGGACTCCCCACCCCAGGGTTTGCTGCCTCTTTCCAGCTCTGGGATTCCAGCAATAAATCCCATGGAGAGCACTTTCTAAGAGTGCAGTCCCCACCCTGCCTTGTCATTCTCCCTCCTGCCACTGCCTTTCAGAGGTGACCTCAGGCCTGGCCAGGGTCACCGGCTATGGCAAGGCCACTGTGGTCAGCCAGGCAGAGAGCCAGGCAAGCCCCAGGGGGAGGGAAATCCGATATGGGCCTTTGTCAGACTTTCATTGTGAGGTTTTTGGTTTCAGGAGTGATGAGGACAGTAAACTAGGACAGAAAATGATGACTGGTCCTCAAAGCTTGGTTTCAGTGTGATGTGAAAGCGGTGAGCAAGCAGGGAGAACAGGGACAGACGTTTCTGAGGTTCGGGTCCTGTCATGGAGCCCACTGCCCCACCAGCCAAAGATGCCCCTCTGTACTTGGACCTCCCTGAGGGGCAAGAAGGAGCAGCATGAATGCAGCCACAAGGGGCTGATGCAGCCTGTTCATCGTATCTGTGAGGAGTTCTCCCAGTGCTCCTCAGGCTTCGTGAATCCACCTGGGCACGGAAGGAGGAGGCCTGTGGTATCTGGGGCCTTGTGCTTCATCTCAGGACCCTGACCAGCCCTCCGTCCTGGCCTCCTCACTGGCTGGGCCATGGGGCCCCCAGGCCAGGGTAGGGTCTCTTGATCGCACACTGGGTGCCGGCCTTGCGATGACAAGCACAAAGAAGGCATTCACTGTACACGTGTCAGGTGGTCGGATGGGCTCTGATGGTTTCGTGACTTCAGACACCTTTTAGCCCAGTGAGGTCACTTTGGGACAGTGGCTGTTGCTGCAGGCCAAATCCTTGTGGCCCAAAGCATCCCTAGTGGCCATTCCTTCCCAGCCTTTCTCCGGACTTAGTAATCTCCCTCTTCTTGAGTTACAGGGGCTGTTCTAATGTTCCCTTCCAAAAAAGCATTCTGTGGCCAGAGCACACACAGCACTTGGAGCTTTTGGAGTAAAATGTGCTCTTTGGTGCCCTGCTATATTACAGCGTCTGGCCCCATTTCCAAAGTGAGGTCAGATGGACTCCACGGCTCTCTCTGAGCCACCACCACTGTGTGACTCAGCTGGCTGCAGGCCTCAGATTCTTGGTGACCAAGGCTGGTGTGTATTATCTCATCAGATGAGTCCTTCTCAAGCTGCCTGACCGGAGAGAGAGCGCGCACGCCAGACAGGCAGGCAAACTGACAACCTGACTCATGCTCTGAGCTTTTCCAAAGTAAGAGCAGTAGGAAGTTACCTGCATCCCGGTGGCTGACAGCGAGGCTGGAGGCCTGACTGCCTGGGAGCCGGTGCCCCTGCTGAGGAAGGCCACTGCTCTGGAGCCCCCAGCCTGCCTCTTCTCTTCCGGCCCTCCCCCTGAGGACTGAGGAGGCCTTTGCCCGGGCCGTGGTACGTTTGCTGTGAGAGGGTCACGGCCCGCAGCCTAAGCCTCCCTGGCATCAGGGGTGCTCAGAGTTCCTGGAAGGGACAAGCTTGGGGGGACCCACCTCAGGCTCCTGACTTCGGGGTGGGGAGGGCAGAGCCAGCCGCGGCCCTCCACACCTCCTCAGAAGGGCCTTTGCCCACCTCCTCTGTGAATGCAGTATGCTCCTTTCCTTCCATGTCTGAGCAGCTGCCCTGCTGTCTAGGTCAAGGGCACTGTACGAGTTTCCTGGGGCTGCTAACGAATCCCCACAGACTTAGTGGCTTATGATAACACCAATTTGTCATCTTATGGTTCTGCGGGTTGGAAGTCCTAAAATGATGTTGGCAGGGCAGCGTTACTTTCACAGGCTCTAGGGGAGAGGACATTTCTGTGCCTCTTCCAGCTTCCCGAGGCACCTGCATTCCTGGACTCACCCCCCCCACCCCCCATCTTCAAGGCCAGCAGCACGCATCTGCCAATCTCTCTCCCTCTCTGGCTTTTCCTTCTATTGTCCCATCTTCTTCTCTGTGTCTGACCCTCCTGTCCCCCTTTTATAAGGGCCCTGTGATCCTATTGCACCTACCCAGACCATTCAGGAGAATCGATCCTCCCCAACTCCTTAACTTAATCACATCCTCAAAGTCCCTTTTGCCATGTGAGGTGACATATTCACAGGTTCCAAGGATTAGGACGTGGGCCTCTTTGGGGGGCCCTTTTTCTGCCTACCACAGGCATTGAACAGACCACTTACTGATGAGGGGGCCTTCAACAGACTACCCAACCTCGGGCCTCATCTGTAAAACGGGGATTGTAATACGCCTACCTCCGGGGTATACTGCTGTCCTCGAACACAGCCTATGGCCGGCCTGTCGTGTGTCATATATCACGTGCTGTCACGTGCTAGGTGTGTGGCACTTAGTAAGTCTGAACCCTAGAAAGAAGATAAGCCTGAGCTCACAGGAAGCTCACCGACTAGTGAGCAAGATGCTCATGTCCTGGGGCTGTAGTGAGTGCTGGGATGTGGCCGGGCACGGAAGAGAGAGGGCTCAGCCTGGAGTGAGGTGTGGAGCCAACCCGGAAGGCGTCCTAGATGAGGTGGCCCTGGAGACGTCGTTTAGCAGGGGTGGGAGGAGAAGAGTATTTCCTGCACACGGAATAGCAGGGGTCAAGGTGCAGAGAAACACTGGGGGCGGGGGGGCATTCCAGGGAACTGCAGGCAGTTCATCTTGTCCAGAGCTTGAACCGTGACCTGGAGAGCAGAGATCCTCATTTGTCACTCCATTCTCTCATTCATTAAATAATCATCGGTGTCCAGCTATTGTAAGATGCTGACTCAAGAGCCCTGATTCTGCCAGAGCAACCTACTTCCCACAGTCCCTCTGTGCTCTCGCCTGGACCTGGAGTAGAGTCAGGATGTGACCCTCACGATCCCGGGGGCCGGGATGACTTCCACAGCCAGGATCCTGGCCAGCGAGAGGCACCGGGCTGAGAGCATTCTAATGCTGTGTTATGGTGCTTGGTTTAAATTAGCTTTCCATGATTCAGAGAGGGAAAATTTATTGTCAGGAATACATTTGCCATATTTCATTTCCCCATGGTTAGCTAATGCTCTGGGCTCTGGACCACATCTGCTGAAGGGTCGCTTTCATTCCCCTCTGAGGCCCAGTGACTCAGAGCTCCAGGGTCATCGGGCTTCTGCTCTGTTGGCCTGCACCACGCGCACCCCAGTGACCCGACCGAACCATCGAGTCATCCGGAAGCGTCCAGTTACGCTCAGGACGTCCATCAGTCTCCAGACCTGGCTGCCCAAATGCTGGCCGGATAAAGCCCTCCTTCCAGCTAACTATTCCCCTTTGAAATAGACTTTTCTCAATCCGGCGTTGTATTTCAATAAAATAATCCTGCTTCCAAATCTTTCTACAAATAGAATGATAGAAAATTCAAAACATATGCCTGCAACCAACTCCTCGCTAGCAAAGTAATACCCTTTTAGAATACCTTTTGGGGTTTTCATTCATTTGTTTCTTTTCCTAATTAGTGTTGATAATGTTCTTGTTGGCGAGGAGTTTAAATTCTTCCCTCCCCTGGCCCCCAATTCTTCTTCCACAAATATTGTCTCTCAAGGCTTTGTAGGTTGCTATCAGGCACAGAAATGTTATCTGCAGTTCAAACTGTAACTTGTGCTTAGCTCCCTTAGTCCAGTTTCATCTTAATAGCCACAATGATTTTCTGTCCATGTGATATGACCTTTATTCCTTCTGAAATACAGCTGGATATTTTTCTTCAGGCAGAAAATTTACTTTTGCCAACGTTGTTTATCTGAACCATGGTTGCTGAAAGCGTTACTTGGAAATTAATCTTACGGATAACTACATGTCTAGAGCCACAAACAATTTGCATCAGGGAAGTCCTGAAATATGTTAGTGTTATCTATTTTATCACTCACCAGAAAATAGTGTCA